GTGTGTGTGTGATCATGAGGGACACAGCGAGACAGATGCAGGAGAAACAGTGACTCATGAGCTCTGATGAACAGAAGGAGTTTTAAAGTTAAAGTGTTCACACTTTCACTAATGTGTCACAGGTGTCAGTGATGTATATGTCATGTGATTAATACTGAGTACCTTTGACAAGAAAATACACTTTCAGTCTTCGTACCTCAAAAATGTCATGTTTAATTGAATGTGTTACTTGACATGTCTTTGTAATTATTTGTGAAATTTACTTGCGGTTTCTGAGTGAAAACCATTTTGAGGTCAATCCTACACCATATTTTTTATCAGTGCACCTGTCGGACCATAAAGCATGTGAAGATGGCTAGTTATTGTTGTATGCAGTAATTCTGTGCTTCAGCACACAGTCTGATGACTGGCTGATCTTCAGCTGTCGGTCCGTGTTTTGGCCGCTTCAGTTCATTCTGTGACAGAGAATAACTCTGTGTTCGAGGGTGTTGATGGCATCTGAAGTGTGTTTCTTGTGTCTGTACAGGGCTGTGTGTGTGTGTGTGTGTGTGTGGTTTCACCTTTATTTAGTCCGTATTATGTTTCTGATTTCCATAAGGCGGTGGGGATCTAAATGTGTGTCCTCTTCATTTGGTTAGAATCAGTCGATATGAACGTGTGTGTGTTTGTAGCTATACTTAACCATATTTAAGGGACAGATTTGTAACAGATGTGAGCTAAATCTGACAAAACCTCATTTTGAGGATGCCCTCATTTGTAATAACAGTATAAAAATAACATGCAGAAAGTTTTCTGTTAGTGTTTGTTTAGGTTAGGTTATGGTATTTAAAACTAGCTGTATATAAAAACAGTGGAAGTCTATGCAATGACTTCATTTAGATAGATGAGTAAACGTGTGTGTGTGTGTGTGTGTGTGTGTGAGTCCAGTGTTACTGCTTACACCATTTTTAGGTTTGTTTTTTAACAAAAAACTTTGTCATTTATATTAATTTCGGTCCATTTTACACTCATTTAAGTGGCATATAATTTCTGTTGGCAAAAATACAATTTTAGTTGATAAAAATATGTTAATATTAGAAAATTTTCGAAATGTTAACAGATCAAACTTAAAGAACGTTTTCTTATGTATAAACATTGATTGCTCATAAAAATTATTTATGAATGTATAAACATTAATTACTTGTAAAACATAAATAAAAAAATTATTAATTGTTTACATTTATAAATTATATGAGAGTTATCAACATAAAATATAACTTGAAAAAGCTGATAATAAGAGCATGTAAACTGAATTATTATCTGTTGTTTAGAGGCTAATGTGATTTCTTCATAATGAGCAGACTCATTTTGCATTATAGCAATATGTGGCGTATTTACAACACAGTTCTGATAGTATTGACTGTGCATTCACTTCAGTTTTTGCAAATATAATTAGTAATATTACATTTATCTTGTGGATACGTGGATATTAATGTAGATACGGATCAAAAATTAATATAGGATGCATTTAACATACTTGTTGAATTACTTGCATGAAAATTTTTACATTTTACTTCTAAAATCATTGGTAATATATTGTCTTGCATTGCTAATTTAATATATATATATTGATCAGGAGTCTAATGTGAAGCAGAGCCTCTTATTATATGGCTGCTTACCTAATTAATAAATGGACATGTAATATTGAAATGAGTCTAAATGATTTTATTATGTGAGAAGAAAGAGAGTGTGGAGCGATACAAGAGACATGAAACTAGCGCAGCGATGGAGGAAATCCAGTGTTCAAGTGTAGCATAAAGTACAGCTGTGTACCATCACAGACCGCAGTGATTGACCAATCACAATCCAGCATTTATAACGTCTGTTATATTTCCATCAGCGATTGGAGTGTTTTTCTGCTGTAGGCCGCGCTGAAGCCTGAGGCTGGATTTTAGCTCTGGTCCTGGTGCGAGTCGCTGCGCCTGGGGAAACGCTCGTGATAAATCGTCTGATTCCGTCTCCTGGGATCGGGAGTATTTTTGAAGCACCATCAATAGAGACGGAGCCCGCAGGGGTTTCACAGCACTGCTAACTGTGAAAAAGAAATGAGTCATAGATCATAGCAGGAAAAACCAGGCTGGACGCACAGAACAGAGAGAGAGAAGCACAAATGAGCGAGAGATGCGAGTCTCCTCTGCCACCACCGCAGCGTTGCCATGGCGACTGTACGTCGAGAGACGGCCGCCGACCAATCAATGTGTGTGCGAGTCTGTCTGAAGGGATCTTGAATTACTGATCCTTAAAAAATGATTTTTCCAGCGCACTCGCACACAGTCGTAATATTCATGCTCACACTGGACTGATTCAGTGAACTGCTGATCACTCAGTCAGATACCAGACTGTGCTTTAGCTCAGCTTATATATACTTATTTGCTTATTATGTTATATATAAGATTAGGATGAGTTTGTGTCTTCATCAGATTTGGAGAAACGTGTCACTGCATCAGTGTCTCAGCAATGGATGCTCTGCAGTGAATGGGTGCCGTCAGAATGAGAGTCCAAACAGCTGATAAAAACATCACAATAATCCACATGTAACTCTTCCTCCAGTGAAAAAGTGCATCTCCTGTTGTCTCTCACATCAAAATCCAGCCACATATGTGTTTAGAGCTGTTTAAACGCTGCTTGATCTGTGCAGATTTCTCTCCTGAGGAAGCATTATTAACACAAACTCATCCTAATCTTGGATGGCCTGCAAATTGTCATTTTTGGGTGAACTATTCCTTTAAACTAGAAAGATACTTAAACGTTGTGTTTGATTCGTTTGGCAGCAAATAACAAGATCCATGGATACTATACTATATTTTTTGTGATCTCAGGATTATATTTTCTAGATATATCCACCCATAAGTTTATATGATAGTGTGAATCTATTTCAGTTGACTGAGGCTGCGGGTTTGAGCTCAAACCTCACATGAACGCAGTATCGAGCCGCTCAGTTGCTCTTTCATCTGACGCTGTGATCATTCGCGTCGGCAGCGGCTGGAGAGCAGCCCCCGCTATGACAGTATTGCAGCCTGATGATCAATAGATACGTCAATGCGCTGACCTTCTTCACTGCAATTAAAACACATTATCCTCTTGTGTGAATGTAAATGATGAACTACATATGATTTGAATGATATGAAAATAAGAGATTTTGATGAGCGTGTCACAAATCTGATTTAAGAGCATGAACCAATCAGCTTAGATACAGCAGTCGGGAAGTTATTTCAATATATTTTTCAACAAAAAATACATGTAAAATAACACAAAACATATGCTAATTTTAATTAAAGTCATTTTATTTCAGACAGACTGGAGTTTTAGTGTCGAGTATTTGAGTTTGGCTGTAAGAAACTGTCTTTTTGTTGTGACCTTAGAGTAACCCAGTGCTGAAGCTGTACTCTTATGTGGATCTTCAGAGCTGAGAGTTACTCTGTAATGCAGTCAGACTGAATGGGGTCGGCCGTCTGTCTCTCTGCAGGTTCAGCTGACGTTACAGGAGACTGTCCCGCCCCTTTCACCTTGTCCGTTCCTCTGTCCTTACTATGGCGCTGTCACTCTGGATACTGTGGATGAGTCCTGTTTTGCTTAGCAACATCGCTCCCTCCGAACAAGGTGAGTTCTGCACCCTAAAACACCTGGTCTAGTCTCCGCCCCCTCAGACCTGGGAGCGATTCTATTGGCTGAAAGAACCATTGATGTGTTTTATTCAGAGCCTAATTAAAAATCCTTCAATATCATATCACTATTTTAAATTGTGAATACCTCAGTCATTCAAGAACTCAACTTCAGATAGATAGATAGATATATAGATAGACAGACACACAGACAGACAGACAGATAGACACAGACAGATAGATAGACAGACACACACACAGACAGACAGACAGATAGACACAGACAGATAGATAGACAGACACACACACAGACAGACAGACAGATAGACACAGACAGATAGATAGACAGACAGACAGACACACACACACACACACACACACACACACACACACACACACAGACAGACAGACAG